TTAGAATTTCCATAGGTCTTCAGAAGTTTTGTTTTGCCTTGTTTTTTGTTTTGTCTTTTTCCTATTAAGACTTATTTTGTGCTTTTAAGCATTAGCAAAAGTTTGTGGGTGTAGAAAATCAGATATGAATAATACCTCTTTAAGAATTGTGGGTGAAGATTACAAAAATAAACATCTTAGATTTTTACAATGCTTTAGATTCCTTCAGTTCCTCTAGGATGTGGACAACTATTTGGTAGTTTGGGTGGTATTCTTTCTCATTTTCTTTTCTATTTTTATTTTTTAAGACAACGTCTTAAAAATATTTTATAGGCTGGCCTCAAACTTATGTTTGTGTTAGACCTGAGGATGATCTTGAACTTCTACTCCCACAGAAGCCCACACCAGCTTTTCTTTTTCACTTGACAAAAACAGAAACTATATATGTTTATAATATGCAACAAAACTTTTTATATATGTATACAGCATAGGATGGCAAAATCAAGATATTTGACATATATATTGCTTCACATATTTTTAAATTTTCTTGTGGCAAATAACTCACGTGGTTTTGTTTAGTCAGTGAATACCACAATACAGTGGTTCTCAACCTTGCCTGCTGTCTGTTGGAACGCAGATGCCACCACCAGCACATCAGTCCAACTAATACACCAGAGAACTCAAATATTAGAATTTCTCGAAACTTGTTGCCAAGTCCAGTGTGCGTTCACTATTTAGAACCAGCTCTGAACAGCAGGGGATGCCAGCAAATTTGAGCCCAGGAAAATGTGATAGCAGTAGGTATCATTCCTACTAAACTGTATACATATATATGCTCCCACCCTTTTTATGTTGGAGGTCAAGCCTGGAGCCTGTGCATGTTAAGTACATACTCTATCACTGAGCCATACTCCCAGCCCCCTGTATACCATTTTCATTATAATTATAACCACTGTGAGGATTTAGGACACAATTATTTGGATTTGCCTTTAATTATGAACCAATAATGAAAAATTACCTAAAAAGCTAGAGAGATACCTCAGGAGTTAAGAGCTCTTGCTACTCTTACAAAGGACACAGGTTTAGTTCCCAGAACACCCACAGTGGTTCACAACTGTAAATCCTGCTCTGGGAAATCTAACACCCTCTTCTGGCCTCTGTGGGAACCAAACATGCCAATGTAAATGCGTGAACAAATGTTCATACACATAAAATAAAATAAATAGGAAAAAGAAATTATCTAATCACCAGAACCCCAAAGTTTGGTGTTGAGATCGGTTATGCATACTGCCATATATCTTGGCATATGTTTGTTGGGGTGGGGGAGGTCTCCTACTAGAAATAATTAAATTTTTAAGCACTCAACTTATAGGAAGACACACTGGCATAAGAGTTTGGAAACTTGTATTCCATAGCTAGAAAGATGACTCAGTGGTTAAGAGCATGACTTGCTCTCATAACCATCTATAACTCCAGTTCCAGAGGATCTGATGCCCTCTTCTGGCCCTTGTGGGCACCAGGCATTTGTGTGGTACATAGACAAAACACCCATACACCCATATTTATAAAATAAAATCATTTCTAGGTGGTTATCTCACCTTTGAACTAGCATGTTTAAATTGTGCTTTATAAAGCAAGGCTATTTGGACTAAAGTGTCGCTCACTGAGTAGTTATTCAGCAAGTTGGATTGCCTATTATGTATGTTCTAAGCAAGAATATGAGACAACCAGAGCATAGATTCTGTTCTTGAAAAACTCAGGAGAGGGAAGCACACACTGTATGCCTGGGACCTTGTTCAGGGAATGTGGAGGGATCAGAGGAACATGGGCATGCACTTCATTATTGGCTCATCAAGAAGACAGATGCTGTTGTTGCTATTTGGGATTTTGGGATGCTTACTTTTCAGATGCTTACTTTTCACCCTCACAGCTAAAGTGTGAGCGTGTGACCAAGTGATGCTCAGTAGGACCATAGAAGTCTGTGGGTTAGTTCCCTTATAAAATACTTTCCTTCCCTGTGTCCTACTTGAGCTCACCTCACATTTTTGTGTGGGGGCATGATTCTTACTTAGTGCTACAAAAGAGACTGTGAAGCCCAGGACAAAGGACACAGTGAGGGGAATAACCAAAAAAGGAAAATGGAATCCTTGACCTAGCACTTTGAAACCAACTGAAGCTAACGAGTTTTTGTTTTGTTTTGTTTTGTTTGAGACAGAGTCTCTCTGTGATGCCCTAGTTGTCCTGGTACTTACTTTGTAGACCAGGCTGACCTTGAACTCACAGAAGTCCACCTGCCTCTACCTTATAATACTACTTGAGTTCATATTGTTTTCATTCTGTCTGCTTCAAGACTGACCTGAATCAGCAACATCAGCATTACCTGGGAGGTTGATTAGTACCTTAGTTACTTTTCAGTTGCTGTGATAAGACAGCATGACCAAGGCAACTAACAGAAGAAAGCATTTACTTGGAAAAAACAGTTCCAGAGGGTGAGTCTATGATCATCATAGCAGGGAAATGGCAGCAGGCATGGCCATAAAGCAATAGCTGAGAGCTTGCATCTTGATCCACAAGCACAAGGCAGAGAGCTAGCTGGGAATATCACAGACTTTTGAAACCTCAAAGCTCACCCCTAGTGACACACCTACAACAAGGTCACACCTCCTAATCCTTACCGAATAGTTCTACCGGCTGGCGACCAAGCATTCAAATATGTGAGCCTATGGAGGCCATTCTCATTCAAACCACAACTAGAAACTCAGAAGCCCAGACCCAACTCTCCCTCAGTGACTGGAATGTACATTTTGAGATGTATATTCTTTATGTCTTCCTCTTGTCTAATAGCAATAGCTAAGACTTCAAGCTCTATGTCTCAACTACATGCTCTATGGCATGTATGTCAGTCACTTTAATAAAAGACCTCAGCAAAACATCTTCATTGCTCTTAGAGGGAAAATTTAGGGCTGGGTGTGGTAGCACAGAGCTTTAGTTCCTGTACTTGGGAGACAGAAGCAGACACAGGAGGATCTCTGTGAGGTCAAGGATAGGGCTACACAGTGAGACCCTGTTATTAAAAGGTTTATATTTGATCACCTCCCAGGAAGTGTCATTACATGGCCAACCAGCTCCTTTACTTTTGGGCCTAAGATAAAGCAGAACACTGTGATGAGAGCATGTTGTGGAACAAAGCTGCTTGCCACATGACAGACAGGAAGAGGCTACAAATGAGTTATATCCCCCCAGGCCACACTCCAGTAACTTGCTTGTAACTAGTTCCACCACCCACCACCCCAAATTCCAGGGCCACCATGTTGTGGATCTACCCAGGGATTAGGTCACAGCCCTCATGATCCAGTCATTCTGTGACCGGATCACCAACTGGAAAACAGGACTTCTGCCCATGACCTTTGGAGGTACCTTATAGTCAAGCCATCCCGACCAAAATAAACAATGCACTATAACTGGCTAATATCTGCCATACTAATTAGCCCAGATATCAAACTAGATGTATCTACTGAGCACTTGAAGGATGGCTGAAGTTTTACAGTAGCCACAAATGGCTAGTGGCTATGGCATTAGATACAATGCAGCAATAGAGACAGACTTCGAGTCTGCGTTTGGCATGGGGATGGTACTCGAAGAGCAGAAGTAGACTGTCAGCTAGGAGAGACTGAGGGAGGGCAGCAGAGGTACAGCCCTCAAGAGGGGACCCTCACCCTCTTCAGGTAGAAGGTAGACAAGATAAGCGCAGATCACATTGTCCTCCAAGGTGCAAAAAGGCAGAAGGGGGAGTAAGAAACAGCTGTTAGCTACCTGGAGAAAGAGTTTGTAGTCAGGGCTATACTGGAGGGGGGGGAGTCTCTCTCAGTTCACAGAAAAGTAGGCGCTCCCCCAAAATCTCAGGGTCCAACTCTCAGATCTTGATAGGAAACTCCTGATATGTTCAGCACTCACAAGGCAGAGCCAGTGACAGGTGGGTCTCTGCCAATTGAAGGCCAGCCTGGGCTACATAGTGAGTTCCAGTTATTATTATTGATAATTATTATTATAATAATAATGTAATATAATAATAATAATAAATCTTTACCTGTGCTTAAAAATGACCAAAGAATCTTACAGGATTGTATACAGCAGCATATATAAAAAGGGGGGGGGCTTTAGCAGAGACATGAAATAACTTCATTTTGATTTTTTTCTTTTTCTTTTTTCTTTTTTTTTTTTTTTAAGACAGATCTCATACAGCTCAGGGTAACCTTGAACTTCTGATCCTCTTCTACCTCACAGCTTGTTAGTGTTCTTACTTCACTTGTCAAGTTTTAGAACACCACTCAGGACATAGAGAAATTTCCTTAAATTAGAACTCGGTTAGCATAATTGTCTCTGCTATTCTTAAGTGATGATAACAGCAATAAGAAATTGGATCCTGTTTTAATTTTCAAGTTTTATAGATTTTCTTGGGTTTTAGTGTATGTGCATGCGTGTGTGAGTGCATGTATGCGCCAGTTGGTTTGGATCTTGTTTTTGTCTCCCATGCCAGACTGGCCTGGAGCCTATGCCCATGCTGGCTTCTGGTCCTCTTTCCTTAGTTTCCAGACTGCTCAGATTTCTCAACGAGCTTCATTTGACTATTGGTTCAGATTTGTGAAATAACTCCTTAAAAGAACGTGAGCACTGTGCACTCAGGAGTCAGAGGTGAAAAGATCATGAGTTCAAGGCTAGTCTAAGCCACATAAGAAGTTCAAGGCCAATCTAGGCCACATAAAAAGTTCTAGGCCAGTCTCAGCCACATGGTGAAATTCTATCTCAAAACAGAAAACAAAAAGAGACATTTTTATTTTCAGGAGGGGGAAATTTCTCAGAGATTCTTCCATTCTTCCATGTATAGCCAATACATGGCTCTCCGTGTTAATTTGGCCTGCTTGTCTACTGCAGTTGCACATGCCTTACCTACTGTTTGTTAGAAGGGAAAGATGTAACCAACTAGTAGAAATGAATAACAAAATGTATGTGCTTGTTTTTAGGGAAAATTTTTATCCCCAAACAGAAACCTGTGCAGACTTTTGCAGAAGAAAGCATATCCCTTGATCCAGAATTAGAAGAAGCTTTGACAAGTGCCTCTGATACAGAATTGTGTGATCTTGCAGGTATCTACTCAAATTTTAAATGAGAGTGGTGTGGGGAGAACCATGCAGGGCACACCTGCATCTATTATACACTTACTTTGTACTTTATACAGTAAACCTGGCAGTAGGATTCCTTTAAGTACCCTCTATGATGAAATTTTATCATGATAAAATTTCTTATTTGATAATTTTTCCTGTGTTGCTGTATTTTAAAGTCTTTCTAACAACAGCAAAAGCCATGTCACCACCTTGTGAATCTGTCTGTCCCATCTGAGTGCTAAAACAGACATCAGTGTCAGCTTCTCTCCTGTTTCATGGAGAGTAAATAGAAATCAAAAGCTGTGTTCACGTCCCCAACTTTGCCCAAGTGACATGGAGCACTGCAGACTTCCTGAATGCACATAGCCAGTTTTTACATAGACCACCCTTCCCCACTTACTGTGCAAATACCCATTTCCCCTGGTGGAGAATGTGATGTGTAGGAAGACCCACATACCAGACTCTGAGAACCGACATGTGCAAAGTGGAGTGGAGGTTCCTGGGAAGGGTCAGAGTGAGATGTGCTGTCACAGCTAGAGAAGTGGGATATTCTTGAGGGACAAAAGTCTGGTGGGTTTGTAGATGAGAGGACATCAAAAGACTTGAATGTTTCTGAGGGTGCTACATTACCTTACATGAAAGCCCTTGACAGGACTTTTAGTGTAGTCATGGGCTGTGCCACCATGCCCAGCCTTGCTTGGACTGTTTTGTTCCTAGAAACCTAGACAGTGAACAGCAAGTAGATCTTTTCTGTTTCCTCTCTTAGCCACCAGGTGGAGCAAAGCATAGATTTCCCTTTAGGGTCCACCTGGCCCACACTTGTCTAATTTAAAGGTTCTGGGAAATAACAAGGGTATTGATGAAAATGAATGGGAGATTGGCGGTGATTTCTAATCACTACACCACCCCACTCTCTTGTTTTTAGTTTAATAGGAAAATGTTTGGAGAATGCTAAAAGTATTAATAATTTTTTTATTTGCAAACTGGGAACTGGGCACATTTCTATAAGCACAGCTACTTGGAAGGCTTGAGGCGGGGGACTGCTGCTGCCCAGGAGTTAGAGGCCTGCCTGAGCAACACAGCAGGACTCCATCTAAGAATATAAAAATGAACGAGTTTAGAGCAGGTAGAAGTAGAAAACTAACTCTGTTCTCTCTGCAGCTATCCTTGGGATGCACAATCTGATTACAGACACACAGTTCTGTGACGTGGTGAGAAGTAGTAATGGTGTCAACCAAGAACATTTTTCAAGTGAGTAATTAAAATGCCTTGAGAATTTCAGTCCTTTGACAAATATGTTTTGCTTCCTCCATTTATTAACTTTGGTATTTATTACACCAAATATTATATATATATGTATGTATGTATATGTATATATATATGGATTAAACTTAAAATTCAAGTTTAATAGTACTATTACAGAAAACCATTAAAATATAAAATTTAGTCAGGTGTAGTGATTCATGTCTATAATCCCATCACTAGAAATGCTTCCTCCTCTTCTGGAGGATGGAAGTTCGGGTCCAACCTTGTACAGCTTACAAACTACCCATAACTCCAGCTCCAGGGAAATCCCACGCCCAGTCCAGGCCTCCGGAAGCCGCCCCCCTCCTACACACACATGGCATACATACATGTAATTAAAATAATTTTTAAATCAAATTTTAAAAATAGAATAATTAGTATTTTAGTTTTTGTTTTTTTGAAATAGGGTCTCACTGTATAGCCTTAGCTGACCTTGAACTCAGATCTGCCTGTCTCTGCCCTCTGAGTTCTGGTCTGAGCCACCATACCTGGCAGTATTTTAGTCTTAATGTGTTGGCAGATGTAATAGGAACTGCTTTTGCCATATAAATAGTAATGATGAGCAGTATGAAAACTGGATAAGCTTAGGGTTTTTAATTGTCTCAGTTTTTTTTATCAGTTGTTTTTGCAGTGTGGGGAGTCAACCTAGGACCTTAAACATACTACTTGAACTCTGCCATTGAATAGCCCCAGTCCAACCATACTTAGTTTTTGTCAACATTTTATTTTTGTGTTGCTAGTTTTAAGGAATCCATGGAAATTCTGACAAAGTTCCATTTTTAAAAATATAGGATGTAGTTAAATTCCCCAGGTAAATATATGCTATTGTAGCATATTTAAACATGACATAAATAAATATACTACAAAATAAACATCTCAAATCGGGAGAGATGACTCAGCAGTTAAGAGTTTACTGCTCTTGTAGAGTCCGAAGTCAACCCTTGCTCTTCCATTTGTTCCTACAGATGTGGTAAAAGGTGAAACGATTCTTCCAGTGTTTGATGAGCCACCAAATCCAACCAACGTTGAGGAGAGTTTAAAGAGAATTAAGGAAAATGATGCCCGTCTTGTTATATAATCAACATTAACACATGATGTTTGCTTTGAGTCAACCAAACTCAGTCAGTAATGTGGTAGTTCTGGTATATAGTCTTAATTTCTGCTTTAAGGTCACGTTTATTAACAGTATATGAGCATAAATTCCTTCAAAGTTTATACATTCTAACATTATAGAAAATATTTTGTTAGCCTGGCAGTGGTGGCACACATCTTTAATCCCAGCACTTGGGAGGTCAGCCTGATCTATAGAGTGAGTTCCAGGACAGCCAGGACTGTTGCACAGAAAAACTGTGTCTCAAAAAACCAAAAAGTATACATAGTTACTTGCTTTTTAAAGAGTTTATCATATAGGAATGTGGCCCTATACATTGTCAGTAAGTTATTCTAATTTTTAAAGTACTGCCCACTTTAGCCTTTGTTTTTTTATTTTAATTGAGTTTATTAAGGTATTTTTAATATAGTTAGGTAAAATTTCTTAATGTGCAGACCTGGGATATAAAGCTATAAAATACCACTGTCATGTTGAGAACAAAAAGTAAACACCGAACTGACTGACTGATATAAAGCCCACCTGTAATGTTAGAAGCTCTTCAGGCCCCTTTGTTATTCTCTGTCCACTCTTGCCCCTTACAGCTGTTCATTTTGCCTTCTCCAGCCTTGTAAATGGAACCAAATGAGTCTTCCCTTTGGCGTAATGCATTTGAGACTCACCATCATATTGTGAAGGTGCCACTAGTTTGTTCTTTTTCATGTGGTCATTCTCTCATAGAATATGCTATGGTTTGTACATCCATGAGTCAAGTAGTTGATATGAGTTGCTTCCAGTTTGGAATGTTCTTTTTTTTTTTTTTTTGGTTTTTTGAGACAGGGTTTCTCTGTGTAGGTTTTGAGCCTATCCTGGCACTCACTCTGTAGACCAGGCTGGCCTCGAACTCACAGCGATCCGCCTGCCTCCGCCTCCCGAGTGCTGGGATTAAAGGTGTGCGCCACCAATGCCAGGCTCAGTTTGGAATGTTATGTGTAAAGTGGCTGCACACATTTACATGTGAGGCCTTTGAAAAATACAGGTTTTTGTTTCTCTTGACCAAATGCCTAGAAATTGGCTTTCTGGGATCTGTTTGTTTTTTGTTATTTCAAATTATTATTACTGTTTGTTTGTTTGTTTGTTTGTTTGTTTTGAGACAGGGTCTCTTTATGTATTCCTGGCTGTCCTAGAACTTGCTTTGTAGACTAGACTGTTTGCATACTTCCTGAGTATGTTTCAAAGCAAATGGTAAGGATAAATGTATTTGATTAATGGATTTAACTTCCTGGAAACTAAAATGTTGATGGTGTTTCACATTTTTGTCTTTCAAGAATATCCCAATTCCAACTTTAAAAGAGTTTGCCAAGACTCTGGAAACCAACACACATGTGAGACATTTCAGTCTTGCAGCCACCAGGAGCAATGACCCCGTGGCTGTGGTAAGTATGCTGTGATTGACATTGTCAGTAATGCCCAGCTGATGTCTATAGACCAGTGTTATTCTGAGGGTAAACCACTTTGTCACTCATAGCCCAGGCTGGCCTTGAATTCCATGTGTAGTGGGAGATGGTCTTGAACTCCCCAGTTCTTCTGAACCACTGCACCCTCTTACACTGTGACTTCTTTTCACATTTATTTATTTATTTATTTATTTGTGTGTGTGTGTGTGTACATGTGTCACAGTATGTATGTGAAGGTCAGAGGACAACTTGCAAGAGTTAGTTCTCTCCTTCCACCATGTGGGTCCCAGGGATGGAATTCAGGTTGTCAGTCTTCATGGCCAATGCCCTTACCATTGGCATCTCATTGGCCCAAACTGTGGCTTTTATTTATATATATATAAATGTATATATATAAGTATATTTATATTCTTTTTTTTTAAAGATTTTATTTATTTATTATATATACAATATTCTGCTTCCATGTATATCTGCACACCAGAAGAGGGCACCAGATCTCATATTGGATGGTTGTGAGCAACCATGTGGTTGCTGGGAATTGAACTCAGGACCTCTGGAAGAGCAGGCAGTACTCTTAACCTCTGAGCCATCTCTCCACCATATTCTCTTTTTTTCATCTGGAATTTTACTTCATTATTCAGCATTACATTGTGTACCCTTTTGTACTTTTAAAATTTTATTTATATTTTTTCCCCTCTTTTTGGGCAGGAAAGAGGTAGATTCCAAGATAGCAACTCACTGGGTAACCTAGACTGGTGTCAAATTCATGATCTTACTGCCTTGGCCTCCTCATTTTTTTAAACATAAATGGTGCCTGGAAATATGACTATGTGAGTCTGAGTCCCTGTCTTCAAGCTCCTGAACCACCAAAAAGAAAGAAAAGAAAAAAATACTTGATTTTGATTTTTCATTAAGCTTTATGTTAGAGGTCTTTTTGTGTCAGCATACAAAGGTCTGCTATATCCTTAACATCTGTACAAGGTCCCATTTAGGGGTCTGTGATTTGGGATTTTTATCAAATGCTTTCTCTGGAGATGACTATGTGGTGTTTGTCCTTTAAAAGCCAACACTAACTGTGTGTATTGAACAAGCCTTGCATTCCTTGGGAAAATCACACTGAGTGTCTTTTTCTTTCACTTGCTCTGCAGAATTCACTCTCTTTGGTTCTCCTCCAGCTTCACTAGTTCCCAGGTTCCCACATACTCTTCCTCTGAACATTGGAGTGGCCCAGGGCTCTCCTGTTTTCACCTTTATTGCGGCCTGGGCAAGCTCATCATTTCAATGCTATCGCTTGTTTACACAAGCTTGCTGGTGACTCCAATGCTATTGTCCCCTTTGTACCTATGTCGTGCACTGACATCCAGCTGTGCCTGGATGTCTAATGAACTTCTCACGTCAGAGACTAAACTCCTGACCTCTATCCCATGCCTGCCTTTCTCACAGTCTTTATCACTAAATGGCAGCATCAGTTTACTTTCCCTGGTAGGCAGGAAACAGATTAAAAGCAATCACTCTTAACTTCCAGCCTTAAAGCATATATTTAATAGTCCTGTCTTCAAAATATTTTTAGAATCCAGATAGTCAAGCTGGCTCACACAGGTAATAGAGTCAGAGGCAAGAGAATTGCCTTAAGTTTGAGTGAATCCTGGTTTACATAGCAAGTTCCAGGCTATTCTGAGCCACATGATAAGATCTTCTCTTAAAAAAGAGAGAAACATGGGGCTGGTGAGCTAGATCAGCAAGTAATGCCACATGCTACACAGGCCTGACAGCTTTAGTTCAATCCTCAGAACCCATGTAAAGGCAGAAAGAGAAACTTGACTCCACAAAGTTGTCCTCTGACCTTCTTATGCAAACCATAATGCATATGTATCTACGCACATTGTAAATACACACATAGACACAGTCATATCTGTTTAATGGCCTAGGTTCAGGTGCAGTGGTGCAGTGGTACAACTCTTCATTGGGACTGTCTGGATTGGAGTAGAAGCAGGTTGATCTCTGAGTACTAGGCCAGACAGACTTGTAAAGCCTGTCTTAGAGGAGGATGAGGAGGGCTTGAGATGTCTCTCAGATAGTGGAATGCTTATTTAGCATGCACAAAGTCCTGGATTTATTCCCAACATTCAGGAAGTAGAGCCAGCAAGATCAGAGGTTCAAGACCATCCTCAGCTCCACAGAGAGAGTTTGAGCCAGCTTGGGATGTATGAAACCCTATCCTTTTTTTTGTTTGTTCTTAAATTGCCTTTCAAGACAGGGTTTCTCTGTGTAGTTCTGGCTGTCCTAGAATTTGCTTTGTAGACCAGACTGGTCTCAAACTCATGCCTTTAATCCCAGCACTTGGAGGCAAAGGCAGGCAGATCTCTGTGAGTTGGGCTAGAGAAATGGCTTAGAGATTAAGAGCACTGGCTTTTCTTCCAGAGGTCCTGAATCCTTTAAAAAAAATTATGTATGATAATATACATGGGATAAGTATATACATATAAGACCTGAGCAGTAATGTAACAAGCTGAAAAATGTAAAGAGAAACTTAAGAAAATTCAATTTATGAATGTACTTTTATGGTATATGCACTGAAAAATAGGTGCTAAGCCCGGCATTGGTGGCGCACATGCCTTTAATCCCAGCACTTGGGAGGCAGAGGCAGGTGGATCTCTGTGAGTTCGAGACCAGCCTGGTCTACAAGAGCTAGTTCCAGGACAGCCTCCAAAACCACAGAGAAACCCTGTCTTGAAAAACCAAAAAAAGAAAAAAAAAATAGGTGCTATCAGATTTTAAGCTCCAAATATTTTCTCTTAATTTCTAGGCATTTGCAGATATGCTGAAAGTGAACAAGACTTTGAAGAGTTTAAATATGGAGTCCAACTTCATCACAGGCACTGGGGTTTTAGCACTGATTGATGCTTTGAGAGACAATGAGACCCTGACAGAGCTCAAGATTGACAATCAGGTTGGTGTTCTACAGTAGCAGTTCAGAGGGAACTGCAGCCCCACTGCCATGAGGGTTTGCAAGAAGGCTGGAGCCCTCTCGGAAAGATGGTAGCAGAAAGGGGGTAATGAAACACTTGGGGATCCAGAATATTAATGTATAGCAGGTGAATACAGAGAGTCTCTAAGTCAATTTAGAGTTAGATAGGTGGCTGATTTGAATTGGAAAGACTTTTACACATGACTTAGTACACTTTTCTCCCAGCTCTTTGAGAGAACCACTCACTTTTATATCTGTAGTGTGTTACAGTCCCAAATACAGAGAATATAAATAGAATTGATTGCATGAAAGAAGAAAATTAGTGCTGAGGAGATGCCTAGGTGGGTGAGAGTGCTTGCATGATTTCAAGAGGAACTGAGTTCAGTCTACAGCACCTGCATAAAAAGAAACCGGCCACAGCCATATCCTCCTGGAACACCTCCAGCATTGGGGGTCAGGAAAAAGCAGAACCCTGGAGCGTGATAGCCAAGGCAACAAGTGTCAAGTCCAATGAGAGAAACATCCCAGTACCCAGGTTGCTCTGAGGGCACCATCTTCATCACACAAGTATAATGCTAATACTTTCACAGATGTGGGACCGCCTATTCCTACACATACTTTTGTTTATGGTTTTGTATTTTATGTCACGTGTGTGCATGTGGAGGCCAGAGGTGTTGGATTCCCTGGAGCTGGAGTAACAGATGGTTGTGAGCCACCTGATATGGGTGCTGGGACCCGAACCTGGGTCCTCAGGAAGAGCAGCAAATGTTCTTAGCTGCAAACCCAACTCATCAGTCCCCCAGACAAACTTAAAAGAGAGGAGAATATACATATTAGAAATATTAGAAATATTAGAAATATATTAGAAATATTTCCATACAGAGCAACTGTTAATTTTTTATTTGAAAAATAGCATGGGGAGATGGTTCAGTGGTGAAGTGCCTGCTGCATAGTCATTGCAGGGTGTGGCAATGTATATCTTTAACCCCGTCTTTACGGAAGCAAAAGCAGGCAGATCCCACAGGGTTACTGGCCAGCTAGCCTAGCCAAAACAATGAGCTTCCAGTTCAGTGAGAAACCCTGTCTCAAAAAATAAGGTGGAGCATGATAGAAGAAAATATTCAGTGTTCACCCCTAGCCACCACACACATGCACAGGCAAATGCGTGCACACACCACATACACACAAAAAACTTCAGTTATTTAAAAAGATATTTGGCAAATGATTCCCTGAGTCCTTCAAAATAAATAAATTTTGTAAATGTGAAGATAAAAAAGAGATTTGGTTGTATCTAAAAACTGAACCAAGATTTTTTGTTGTTTTTTGTTTTTCGAGATAGGGTTTCTCTGTGAAACAGTCCTGGCTATCCTGGAACTCTTTCTGTAGACCAGACTAGCTTCAAACTCACAGAGGTCCACCTGCCTCTGCCTCATGAGTACTGGGGTTAAAGGCGTGCGCCACCACCGCCCAGCTCATGATCTCAATTTTTTAATTGAGATGTAATTCAGTATGTGATGTTTTGTGACTGGCTTCTTCAACCTAGCATAAAGTCCTGGAGGTCCATCCATGTTGCGATACATGTCAAAACTCGTCTGTACATGACTAAATTTTAGGGTTTCTACTTTTGGGCTATTAAAATACAGAGCTGAAGAGATGGCTCAGCAGTTAAGAGCCTTTATTGCTCTTGGAGAGGACCTGGGTTTATTCCCAGCATCCTAATGGTGGCTCACAATCATCTTGAAATCTAGTTCCAGAGAATCTGATGCCTCTTCTGATCTTCATGGCACCAACCATGCACATGGTGCACATATCATACATACATACATACATACATACATACATACATACATACATACATACATGCAAAACCCTTAACACATGAAATCTTAAAAAATTAAGAAAAATAATTCTGTGAACATTCATGTCTAAGTTTTTTATGAGCATAAATGTTTATTTCTTAGGGCTTATACTTATGAGTAAGAACTACTGGAGAGTAAGAGAATTCTGTATTTCAAGCAATTCCTAAGCGCCCACTTTGCTACATGCTTGGCAGCCACTTAAACAAACAAAAGAGTTAGACTGTTCTTGATCTAGGATCAAGCATTTCTCTCACATCACCCTGCCCAGTACCTGGGACTATATGTGCACACTACCATGCCTGCTGCTTGTCCATCTTCTTGTTTGGTTAGTTGCTTGGTTTGGGTTTGTTTGGGGGCAAGTCTCATGTAGCCCAGGCTGGCCTCAAGCTTCTCTATATGAGAAGATGACCTTAAAGTTCTGCTTTCAGCCCCCAGTACTGGGGTCGTGCACACCTGGTGTGTGCAGTCCTGGGGATTGAACCCAGAGCTCCGTGGATGCTAGGCAAGCATCAGCTGAGCTATTTCTTCAGCCTTTCTGTCTTTCATCATTCCCATCCTTGTGGGTATGAGGTGGCACAGTAGCCACACTTTTCTTATTTCTATATGAACTTTTGGTGTCTGTTGAACTTTTAAAAATGTATTTCTTAGCCGAGCGTTGGTGACTCACACCTTTAATCCCAGCATTTGGGAGGCAGAGGCAGGAGGACTTCTGTGAGTTCGAGACCAGCCTTGTCTACAAGAGCTAGTTTCAGGATAGCCTCCAAAGCCACAGAGAAAACCTGTCTCTGTCTCGAAAAACCAAAAAAAAAAAAGTGTTTATTATGTTGTAGAAACTGGGAAAACTTAAGAGACCAACAGAATCATCATGAGAGTGGGTCTTAAATTTTCTTTACCTAAAGAGTGTTTTGATCTTGTTTGTTAATACTGTTCTTTGTTTCTGATCCTTCCAGAGGCAGCAGTTGGGCACAGCTGTAGAATCAGAAATGGCCAAGATGCTTGAAGAGAATACGAATATCCTTAAATTTGGGTATCGGTTCACGCAGCAGGGACCCCGAACCAGGGCAGCCAATGCTATAACGAAAAACAACGACTTAGGTAAGATGTATGCGATACTAAGTCAAGTTTTCAAAACACACCACTATTTTTAGAAATAAATTTTAACATAGAAAAATAGCCTGTCCTCAGTGTCCAATGCCTCTCGGTCCTTTACACAGTGAGTCAGAGCTGTGCCAGGTTGTAGTGGCCTTCGTGTCTATGTTAAACCAACTTCTAGGATAAACAAGTGATAGCTTTAAGTGAAGCTTTCCATGACAGATGCTTTGGTTCTGGTTGACAGTAACTCCTTGTGCTTTGAAACAAAGAGTTCAACACCACCAGAAAGCATTCTGCCAATTATCAAGCAGACCCAGACAGAAAATCAATTTTATATTATGAAATATAGACTGAGTATAGTTTATCTCCCTAGCCTCTCTGATGTGTGCAGTGTGCTCCTGCTGCACTTGCCTGCCTCAGTGATCCACTCTACCCTGGTCCTTTTCCTACTGAGTCTTGTGGTCTCTGACCTGGATGAGTTAATAATTATGGTGCTCATAAATTTGTTTCTCTGTTTCCAGAAAGTGACTCCCCTTTTAAGTTATGCTATTTACACTAAAATGTTTTACAAGGTTCATTGTAGGCAACAAGTAAAATTAAGTCCTCACAATAGGAGTGGTGTTTCCAGGCAAAGTAGTTCTTTTAGGCTTCAGCCAGATTTGCATTTATATTGGTGTAGTTACATTCCTTTAATCTAGTTACACGAGCCCTATTATTTAATTCCCTTTCTATGACAGTTGCCCATAGGATATTTTATCAACTTGTTCTTCAAAAGAGAAAACGGTGCTTTGCTGTACTCTTGATTGTGGTATAGTTCTCAGTCAATTGTCTTAGTGTTGGTTCTCATCATTTATTTTCCTCCAAGTGTTTTGACTTTGATGTTCAGAGCAGTGTTTCTCAAGTCTGGACTGAACTTTGTAAATAGAGAACTTTCAAAACCCAGACTATTGTCTTTCCTGCCTTTAGAGATTCAGGGTTAGAATAGGACAGAACTTGGGCATTGTGACCCTTAACAAGTACTCTGATTCTGTGGTGAGCAGTTCATGCTAGTTTGGTTATCAGGAGACATTGGAGTTTCTGAGTCTGACATTAATACATATCATGAACACATGTGCCGGATATATTTTCTACTTAACATTTGTCACACTTTTTAAATTACCTTTTACTTCATAAGTTAGTTGTAGTTCATTTAAAGTGTCTGTCTCCAAATAAATTTTGGGGTTTTTGTTTTTTGTTTTTTTAAATTTTTTTTAAAGATTTTATTTATTATGTATACAATCTTCTGCCTGCGTGCCAGCAGAGGGCACCAGATCTCATTTAAGGTGGTTGTAAGCCACCATCTCTCCAGCCCCAAATTTTGTTTTTTGATTTTTGTTTTTGTTTTTTTGTTTTGAGCCAGATCTTGCCATTATAACTCAGGCTGGCCTCAAACTCCTGGTGACCCTACTGCCTCCACCTGCAGAGTGTTTTAAATTATAGGCATGAGCCAATATGCTAACCAAAAAAGTCTTTGGGGGCAGGCAAGATGGCTTATTGAGTAAAGTGGTTGCCACTGAAGCTTGACCGCCTGGGTTTGATCCCTAGAACCTATGTAACAATGGAAAGAGAGACCCAGTGTCACAAAGTTGTTTTCTGACCACTCACAATCATTGCACATATATACACATGCATTCACAAATCATACACAAGCATAATAAATACAAATTTAAAAAAATAGTCTATTTTCAAACATTACAAATTATGGAGCCATGCAAAAATCATGTCTGACTCATAGCAGGTATTTAGTAAAAATGCATTAAGGGACAGCTCAGGGGATAGAGTGCTTGCCTAGCATGTTCAAGGTCCCAGGTTTGGTCTCTAACAAAACCAAAAAGAGAAAGAGGGTTTAAAGTAGGGGGAGAAGGAAGGGAATAAGGCAATGGAATTCGTCTTTATTCAGTTATAGTTTTCTGGTAACTGAATCATTTTAAACTAAACCAGACAAATCTTCCATTTTTCCTCTCCTCTGAAACTACCTTACATCCCAAAATGCCAGCAACATATATCAACCCTATTCCTCTCTGTTACAGGTAGATGACACCCACAGGAATTGTGTAATTGCATCCCCTAAACATGATAGCAGGGAAATTCCTTTTTATAAGGTCTCAGAAGTTACATTCTTGTGCCAAGCCGATTGTGACAGATGCTGTGCCCAGGCTTACAGAAAAGAATATTGTTGGAGGGCATGTGGATGAGTGGGACAGATAAGGACTTCCTGGGCTGTCTTATATGGGCACTGACAGTTGAGTAGCTATCCACAGCAGTGTACTGTGAGGATAAGGAGGCCATACGGAAGAAGGTGTGATCATTCACAAAACGGAATTGAGAAACCTACACTTCTGCTAGGAATTTTCTAGACTCTACTCATGCTCTTCCATTCTGATGCAAACTAAGAGTTACAGACATGGGTCACACATGTAAAGTGACAGTAAGGACATTCCTAGGGGACACTGCATATATAGAAGGTTGGATGTGCAACCAAGCAGCTCTACAAAAAAACTGCCCATGCATATACTTGTTTGAATAAATACAGAATTTCTTAAGTGCTATCACTGGTAGAGAGGGGATGGGATTGATATGGGTGGGAAAGAGACAAGAAGGGTGGGGTGGAAATGATCAGAATGCATTGTGTACATGTATGAGCGTGAAGTGAGGTCAACACTTTAGGAAGATGGGTGAGAAAATGGAGCAGGGTGTTAATAGAAGGTGCTAAAACTACATGCCAAAAAACTTAGTTGTTTGTTTTATGTTGGAGCATTTGGGCACTAGGGCTATATGATTAACACAACACTTTAAAAGAAAAAAATAACATTGTTGTTTTAGAGACTGAAAGTGAAGTCAGTTAAGACTTATTAACAAGTGGCTACCTGTGAAGGATCAAGAATCTTTCTGCTCTCCTCTCTCTGCTCTTTCCCAGCTCTCTTTCCACTCTCTCTTCCACTGTTCCCCTGGGGCAGACAGGACTTTTCCTGTCTCCCTCTTCTCCCTCTCTCTCAGTGTCTCTTTACCTCTTTTCTCTTTCCTTCCCCCTCAATCCTCTTTCTAATAAAACTTTTCATGGAAAAAAAAAGAAAAAAAGAATCTTACTCATGAAGTAGTTTTTGAAAAAAATGGGCCAGGTAGAAAATACGGACTCCAGGTGACAAAGAATAATCAAAACTAGCGCTCTGCTCTTTGCTCTCTGCCTTGTGCACACAGCAGCTGCTAAGATCTGCTCCCAGCTTCATTCTCTTTCAGTGCATTGTGGCCTCTGTCCATAGACTCAGGCAGAGAGCTTGGGGACCATATTTCCTAACACAGGGGTCCCAGAGCCTGACCTGACACAGTTTCCTTGACAGATAACGTCCCTTCAGCTTGCAAGTGGGGCTATATCAGATCTTTGTCCTCATTTTTATAATATCTTTTCATTGTCTTCTTACTCTCAGCTGTCCATTGAAATCCTTCTGCCTACTCGCCATCTCTCCAGCTAAGAAGTGTCACAGCTATAACAGAAAAGAGGTTGTATGGTACACATACAATAGTCACTTCAGCACTGAGTTGTTCATCTGTACACTAGCTAACTGCATAATCAGCTTTCTGTGGAGTTTTGTTTGCTGTGCTCTGTCCTATAGATCCTGTCTGTATATCTTTAATATTTTTTAGCATGCATTTTAACATCTGAAATGGTTTGCCAAAACCAGCCAAACCGTGCCCTAACAATTGCCTGGTGTTTCCCTTTTTGCTGTATATTTGTATTCTGGTCTCCTTGGCTTTTTCCTCCCTTAATTTTTCAGTAGACACTTGAAGCTTGTTCCTCATTACTGTAGGTTAGATCAGAATCTGGGGAAAGTGAGTAGTTGGTAAGTGTAGTTCATGGAGGAGACAGTAGCCTTTGCTTTTATTTTCTGACTCCACTCAGCCAGTCCTTATACACACAAGTAAATATCTGGTTCCAGCATCCAACAGTCAGAATAGCATGGGAGCAGCCATTACTGTGGCTGGGTAGAAGGTAGCATTTTCTTGACTAGCTCCTCGGACAGCCAATTCAGGCTAGAAAGCGGTGGTGCCTTGTGACTGGCTTCCAGAGGGGAAGTGGGGAATCAGTAATCAAAGGCTGAATGCAGAGTAGCAAAACCAACAGCACAGGAGTGCAGATCCTCGTGGTAGCCAAGTAGAAATATGGCTGAGCCTCAGGGCCAGCGTGTAGTCTTGCCATGGTGGGTGGAGCAGAGCCCTCTGTACTAAGCACTGCTCTGTGCAGCATGCTATCACATGGCCATGAGTGTGAGATCCCATTATTCTCCTGCTGCAGAGCAAGGTGAGAGGCTGGCTGCCACACACACACAGCACACATTCCACAAGAGTGGCAGAACTATGGGTATGTTCCCTTGTGACTCTGCCACTTGCTGTTCTGTCTTCTTGAATAGTGCTCAGCCATAGTGTTGAGTACTGAAATGGTAGCTCTTGGTAAATGCCCTCGTTGACTGATAGACACCTGAAGACCTTACTTGCTACTGGCGCGCTCAGTAACAGTTTAATGTCACCAGTCCATGAAAAGGCTGAACACCATCAGGCATATGTATCGTTTGCTCTATCATCTGTACTAGTTGACTAGCCATGTGCAGCCAACATTTATAATAGCCAGAAGGGAAATATGTAAAGAGAGGGGAAATTTTGGAAAACAGTTGCAAATCAGCTATCACCTTTAGAAATGATGAAAGTAATTTTAGATCCTTCAGTGTAAGGAAATGTATCTATCCAGGGGAACATGCAAATACTTTTAGTAAAACTTCTTAAATTTTATTTTATGTATTGGTGTTTGCCTGCATGTATGTCTTTGTACTTTGTATGTGCCTAGTATCTGTGGTGGCCAGAAGTGGGTGTCAGATCCTCTGGGACTGGGATTATAGACAGTTGTGAACTGCCATTTGGGTGCTGGGAATCGAACCTAGGTCCTCTGGAAGAGCATTGAGCTATTTCCCCAGGTCCCTAATATAATTTGTTAACCACAGCTTGCCAGTGTCATCGTAAACATTATTGTATAAACTGATCATGTATCTAAACTTAGGCATACTTTTTTTTCTTATAAGCAAATGACTTGAAAACTGAGTGCTAAATGCACACTGAATAAATACTATGTTGAATACTGGGCTTTAGGTTTACCTAGCTGCTATGTAAACACCTGCATTATAAGATACATAGCTCTTGTTTAGAAGCCCCTTGATTTTCAGAAAGCAAATGACAACGGCAGATGACCGAGCCCTCTTTATTAATGAATCAGAACTCAGTTGGTGATGAGACATTAACTGTGTTATACAGAACCTTGTTACAAGCAAGCTAACATTTTATAAACCAGTAGGGATTCATAACAGTTTTGTTTTGTTTTGTTTTTTCCTCAGTGCGCAAGAGGCGAATTGAAGGAGACCACCAGTAAGAGTGCCAAGGGTAACATTTGGAAGCCTGCAGATGACCAGAGGCTCCTGTTGGTGACAACAGATGTAAAAACTTCCTGGGTAGAAGGGGAAAGACTGGAAATCCTTTTTTTTGTTAACTATATGCATTATTTTCCTAGCTTAAGGTATTATGTTTGATTTGTAAAATCAGTAATGGGTAGTATTTTATATTTTTAGCCTTTCTACTGAAATCATTTTAATTTAGCTTAATTGAATGGTTTGTATTTTTTAGATAAAAATGCAGTTGTAGGAAAAGTTTCAGAAGTCATGTATGTAAGAATAATTTGAACACCTTGAGGACCAATCTTTTTAAAGCAAAAAGGGATATTGCTCACTTGATATTAATGTTGCTCCTTATAGATAAAGGATACAGCACATGGCTGTTTCCTTTAAAAAAAAAAAAAAAAAAACTCGGCGGTGGTAGTGCACATCTTTAATCCTAGTACTCGGGAGGCAGAGGCAGGTGAGTTCAAGACCAGCCTGGTCTACAAGAGCTAGTTCCAGGACAGCCTCCAAAACCACAGAGAAACCCTGCCTCAAAAAAAAACCCCAAAGAAAACTATGAATTTGGCAAGAGTTTGCTTTTTCCTTATTAGGGAAATAAAATTTCAGAATTTTAAAAGATGGCTCAGGATCTGATATATCTACATAAGCCAAAACAGGTCTCCAGAAGATGGATCAGTCCTCCTCTGGGAGACCGAACAGTCCTCTTCATTGAAGGTTTCTGTACTCATCCAGTGGGCCTCAGCTACACTGGGTTTTTTGTTTGTTTGTTTGTTTGTTTGTTTTGGTTTTTTTGCTAATAGTCCTTAATTCTACCCCACTGCCTACCTTATTTAAAAGTATAGTTATATCTAAGGTTACTACAGTATTTCATCTTGCTGTGGACATTACATTTTTGTAAAAGCTAGTGGTTAAAAAGCATCAAAGTAGAGAGGTTATTTTCTTCCCCATAAAAATTCTCTTGGTCAATACTCAGTTACTTAGAGTAAAAGAAAAAGAGAAAGGTGCTGTTAGATATAGGAGGTAGTTCAAACCCAAGAAACTCGAAAAATGGCCATTAAACTGATGAGTACTTGTCAGTTAGAAACTAAAACATGAGCTAGCTATGATGGTCGCTCCTATAAACCCAGCACTTGGGAAGCTGAGAAAGGACTATTTCCAGATGTTTGTAGCCATCCTGAACTAAAAAGGAAATTCCAAGTTAGCCTGGGCTATAAATGTGAGACTCATTGTCAAGAAAACAAAAACCTGTACCACATGGTAAGATATTCCATATATGATTCCACAGGTGCAATACAGCATTGTAGTTAATCCCACTCCACAGTATTCTAGCCAATCACAAAACCTGCTATTCTTCAGAAGTCCAACTTTAGTAGATGGCTTCCTTTCATTTTACACTTTTAAAAATCCACATGGGAAAAAAAAAAAATTTCTATAGCATAATAGGTCATCGTTATCACCCAGGTGTTAGAGTGAGGATTTGAGCAGTGTACTGAAGAGTGGGGTTGGGCAAGGCTGCACACCGATGCCCTACTTGAGGATTTGGGTTTGTATCTTTGTCCTGTCCCAGGGCAGCTCCTGCAGAAGGAGTAGGAGAGGCATTCACAGCCACAGACAACAGAGAGGAAAAGGTCCAGTGAGGCATAACAAGTTGAGTTTTGCTTATACCATTCCAGCTCTGTAATACATTATATAACTGAACAAAATACTTCTTTATAAGTAACTTAAATATGAACTTATCCAATTAAATAGATACATTTTAAGAATTATTATGGAGGTCAGGAATGGTGGCACACACCCTTAATCCCAGCAGTAGGGAGGCAGAAGCAGGCAGATCTCTGTGAGTTACAGGACAGCCAGAGCTGTTACACAGAGAAACCCTGTCTTGAAAAAAAAAATTATAATGGAAAACAGTGTTTACCTTGATCTTTAAAAGTCTGGCACCTCCTGACTTTTTATTAACTCAGTATTTTCAAATTCCTCTGAGATTTTTATGACATAGTAATAAATTAGGACTTTGCAACTGTTTTAATTACAAGTCAGCAATTTTCTAAACCCTCAAGTTTAATGTCAAGTTAAATGGTTATCTAAGAATAACATTCAAATTTTGAAAAGCTCTTTTAAAAATTGCTCTTTTAAAAAGTTTTAAATGGCCCATTTTATAAAACTGTGCATTTGTATTTGTCTTGTTATAATTTTCAGTATGCCTACATGAAATTGTATACATTAAATTCAATGCTAGTCTCTAATATTAATACTTTGAAAGTAGATTTTGGTGCTATACACTTACTATAGCTAAAATCTACTGGAGTTTAAAGAATAAATGAAATACATTTTTCTAAAGGTGCCTGTCATTCCAAAGACCAAATAAACATTTTGTGTTAACCATATTAGCGGCTGCTGGTGATTTTAAGGACAGCGTCTTTGATTATTGAGTTGTACATCATCACTAGTCAAATTAGCCGTGTACTTTATCCAAGGGGTGCACTCCTGAAAAGTTACGTGTAAATAGAGCTTTAAAGAGTGTTTTCCTACTGATGATCCCCTCATGTGTTTTCCTTTAAAGTCAATATAACAAGATTATAAAAGAAAATGTCTTAATAAAGTATCAGTTGTGTACTATATCATGTTTAACCCTTAATACCACTAAAATAAGTTATTAAGCTTCATAAAACCTGTGGTTCCCAGGGCTGTGTCACTTGTTCTGTATAAACTCAGGACCTACTGTTCCCACTGTTCCCCAGTAGGTGAGTCTTGGTTCAGCTGGAGTCACGGCGCTGCCACCCTAAAGCCTTGCTGTGTCTGGCTGTGCTCCTCCAGCACTGTTTCTCTTTGAACAGCATCAACTGAAGACATGGCACCCAGGAGAAATGAGCCTGTGGGTGTTTGAGAGACAACTCCTGCTGCTGCTGCCAGGCACAGGTGTGAGGATCTGAACATCTGTCTGTAGAACTGTCTCTCCATCAGTTCTCACAGATCACTCTGATTTCTAGATAGTTCTCCCTCTTCACACTTAACAGTTGCGGTTACATTGAGAAAGTGCCTTCCACAGGTCCTTACCTTTTTGTCATGTTGACCTTTCTGCACTATAATTTGGTTCCATGAGTCCTTCCTTATAAAAATTAAAGATAGGGGCTGGAGAGATGGCTCAGTCATTAGCAGTCATTGGCTGCTCTTTCAGAGGTTCCAGGTTCAGTTCCCAGAGCCCACATCAGGCAGCTCACAATCTCCTGTAACTCTAGTCCCAGATATGATGCCCTCTTCTGGCCTCTGTGGGCACCTGCTCACATGTGCAAGGAGGTGCACAAACATACATACACAGAAAATATCAAAAACATATGCAGGTTTTATAGTAAACATAACATTTCATTAATTTTGAACTTTTCAGTCTGTCATTTAGAAGGGCCAACCTTAGGGGTTAACTAGGAAAAAACAATACTTCTAAGTAAATTGTTTTAATCATTGAGCATATTATTTTTATGTTTATACTTTGTCGTGTATTTTAGAAAACTTAGTTAACAGGTAAAGGATTGCACCTGGGACACCTACTTTAAAGGCCAGGTGAAAACAGACTGTAGCACTAAGATACCACTTGCTCTGCTTTTGTTAACTGATGCAAGTTCACACCTTTAGGGTGTCAGTGTTTTGATACAGAGCAAATCCCATAAAAATCTTTCAGATTTATGTATTCAGATAAGCTTAAGAATGAATTCTCGCCGGGTGTTGGTGGCGCACGCCTTTAATCCCAGTACTCGGGAGGCAGAGGCAGGTGAATCTCTGTGAGTGAGTTCGAGACCAGCTGGTCTACAAGAGCTAGTTCCAGGACAGCCTCCAAAGCCACAGAGAAACCCTGTCTCGAAAAACAAAAAACAAAAAAAAGAATGAATTCTCACTATTTCTTTTTAAAAAGGGGGGGGGCTCCTGGAAATCAAAACAAGCTTCTTTACCCTCCATACCAGTTCATTGGCTCCACTTTTTTTAAAGCTGGATTTTTATATTTACAACCCATAATCCAGAGAATCCAATTACAATTTTTACAAGGGCACCAAGGACACAATTTCTAAGAGTTTTCTTCATTTCTACTTGTTTTTGTTCCAGTAGCTACACTATATACTCTCAACTGAATTAAAAAAAAAAAAGAAATAACTTCTAATGCTGAGTTCTTATACAATTCCTAATAATTCAGATGTCTCAACTTCAGGTATTAAGAAAATACAGTTGAGGCCATGTAGGGTTAAGGCAGCTGGTTGTATAGGACAAACCACTCTCTGCACTTAGAGAATGCCTGAGTTTCCTGAAAATCTCCAGCCCTAATTGCCAATGCTGTAGTCAGAGCCAGTCTGGCTTCCCACTGAAGACCTCTAGCCTGCACTCTCTAGGACCTGCTGTTAGCCTTCCATCTGTAACACTGATGACCCCTGCTCTCTGGGTGAGGCAGAAGGTGGCATGCATTTTGTTCACCTTCTGGATCTGCTCAGCATACTCACTATATCTTCTTTTGCTGTTCCACAAATGAGACCATGCACCATGACCATAGCAACTCTTATAAAGGAAAACTCTTATAAAGGGGCGGGCTTACGGTTCAGAGGTTTAGTCCATTATCATCATGGAGGGAAGCATGGTGCCATGCAGGCACACATGGTGTTGGGGAAGGAGCTGAGAGTTTATAGCTAGATTGGCAGGCAGCAGGAAGAGAGTGACACTGAGCCTGGCTTGAACTTCTGAAACCTCAAAGCCCAACCCCTTCCTTCAACAAGGCCACACCTAATGGTACCACTCCCTGGTGTCTAAGCATTCAAATCTGTGAGTTTATAGGGGCCATTCCTATTCAAACCACCACATTATCCAACAGCTGTATCCACCTCAGAGAACACAATTTCCTGCCACCAAAGTCAAGTTGAGCCCATTACAGCCCAGAGACCTATCTTCTGTCCTCAACACACTTCCAGCTCTTGACTCCTCTTTGCATTGGTCAACAGAAGTATCCTGGTAGGAGGCAGAGCTGTTCCACCTGCCAAGAGAAACTAATCTAGTTTCTCCAGATTAGATTTGTTTGAGAAAAACTGTAGCCCTTGAAACAGTGTCTTCTCCGGTCAGTAAAGGCGGCATAGCAAACTGAGGTCACTGAGAACAGAACTGTGTGTTGTTGTGTATCTTTATGTCGGTGTCTGGCTTGGCACTATAGAATCCTTTTGTATATTGCTTTAACACCACCACTTCCTCTAGTTTCCAGCAATGTGTCTTTTTTAAGGGCCTGATAGCAAGGTTCACATTTAGCCTATCACCTGTTGTCACATAAGGTTTGTAATTTCCCAAACCATATTTAGGCAACCACAGCATTAAGATTACTAGTCTGGGTAAAGGTTCCCTGCCACATATAGGATACAAAATCCCACTCTGGTCCCTGGCTCTTACACTCCATCCAACCCATCTTATGCAGCATTCCCCATGTCTTATGTGCACTGGCAGGGTAGGATATTATCAGCTTTGTGCTACTGAGGGTTCAACATTCCAGGTACCACCGCCTTGGATGCAGAGACTGAAACATCAGTAGACTGGTTTCCCTTCCTCCTCAGCAGGGGTCATCATTTACCTTCTCTTGTGGCTTATAAATACTATTCTTGATGCAATGTGAAATTTCAAGTTCTCAAGGCTGGAAAGCCAAGGCCTGGATGCCAACAGACTTAGATCTGGTTTGCAAATGTCCTCCTCACTGACTGTTGACCTAGCAGAACAAGAAGTAGCAGGTTCCCTCTAGGTGTTTCTCAATTGGTATGTGTGGCAATTTGTAACAGTTTATTTCATCTCTGCTTAGAAAAAAGAAGATGGTGAGGTTTCTCTCCTTTTTTTGTTTAGTTTTTATGACAGGTTCTCACCATGTTACCTAGCCTGGCCTCCAACTCTAGAGCTCAGTGAGCTCTGCTTCAGCCTCCTGAGTAGCTGGGACTACAGACATGCATCACTTTGCCCAGTTGAGCAATACATTTATTTAATAGTTTTGAGATGTTAGATTGTGTGCTTAGGGATTGCTGTTTACAAAGTGTTTCCCTGGCTGGGGTGGAATCCCGGCAGGCAGCAGAGTCCAGTCCAGGGTCACCCACTGCTTTGTGTGCTAACCTAAAGATTAAACTCTTTAAAAAGGAAGTTTACAAAAAAAAAAATCATCGGTAGGTGATGACTTGCACATTAATCCCAGCACTCAGGCGGCAGAGGCAGGTAGATCTCTGTGAGTTTGAGGCCAGCCTTGTTTACAAAGCAAGTTCCAGGACAGGCTCCAAAGCTACACAGAGACACCCTGTCTC